ACGCCGGGAAAAAGTGGATCGCGCAGTGGCCACTTATGAAGAACTTCGAAGCGGCGCATACCTCACCTCCGTCCAAGTGGGACAATATTCGAGAAAATGTCCAGATACACATCGGACAAGGCTATTTAATAGATTATTGTATATTTATATATGTATAGACTGTTGCATTTTAATAAATATTCGCTGGATTTTGAAATGAAGCTAAGCCAGTATTGTTGAAAAAATTATAATACTCGAACATGAAGTATGATACATTCGTGTTCCCTTTCTTGCGCTGCAGGCATGTACACAGGAAGATTTTGAACTGCGATATGCGCATCGCAGTTGCGCTAAGGTTAGCGTTATCCCATCGATTGCAACTTTCCTGTTCATATCTAATTTCGCAGGGACGCGATCAATCAGCGCATCGCAACTGATGACAGCTCAGCGCAATGCAAGTAATGACAGCTTAGGCAGCGCAAGTAATGACAGCTCAGCAGAATTAAGGGCGCAGCGCGTAGAGCCTTCAGGATTTATCATAGGGGATTGCGGCGAGCCTTTGCTCCAAACGCTACGCTGCCAGAAATTGCGATGCTCCAGTGTACCCTAACCTTAGCATTCGTTCACGCCATATGATGACTCGTCCACATTATTCCTGTGCACTGTTTCCACATCCTTACAACGACGTAATCCTTTTCTACTGCGCTGTGCTGTCCAATTTCCTTATGAATCATCATTGAAAATTTTGTAGACGGAGGTAGCTATGTAATAGTAAACCATAGGCTCCTAGATAATTTGCCTAAAAAGGATTCGAGATTGCAACTAGCTTATAAGCTTACATCTCTATGATAATATCGTATTTAAAGCAGAAGAACCTTGTTTTTGTTATGTCACAAAGTGATAGCTTTAAAGTACGACCGCTCCTAGACCTACTAGCAATTCAACTTACGCTAGCATATAGTTGCGCATTCTCAACTCGAGAATCTTGGCGCCCATCTCTTGTTCTTATACTCACATTATCTATCAATGCATTTATTGTTGAATGCACTAATGGGTGCCGTGATAAATTAGAATCAACGTCTTTCTGTCTCTGAAGGAAACTAGTATATACGCGTTTTATTTGCCCCAGATAGTTTTCAGGTGAACGTATCGTTACTCGTTCCTTTTATAAACGAAGCTACCAAATATACTCGGAACAACTGACTACCACGTCATTTTAACCTGCAATCTTCTGTTTACCCCTTATAAAAGGGCAATATGATGTGCTCCTGCGCAACACCTTTGCGAGTTATTATGACTGAAGTGCTATCCAATAAGTATCGCCTTTTTGATGTCTTTGTACTTACAGAAAAGTACAACATCGCTGCAGTTAGCCTTGAAGTGTTAGACTATGTTCGTCTTATGAAGAAGCACCCATACTCATAGAGAATCAGATTTTTTTTTGAGTGGTGCACTTATAGCGTTGAAGCACTTGAATTACCAACTAAAGTTCTACCTTCGAGATCGACAAGATAGAGGTAAGTTTGGCCCAGTTCTGTCTTATGGTGTACGCGTTGCTTGAGTCGTAACATTATTGGAAGATTTATGTCAACAGATTATTGGTCTTATATAGAGAGTAAGTTGTAGCTTTGATTGAAGCCACTGTAATTGTAGCTTCAAAAATAAAATAGCTTAAGATTAGATACAGCTTGAACCAAGATGGCAGAACCGAACTAGAATGAAGTAAATCATATTT